GCTTACGTATATGTACAACACCAATCTGAGATGTCTCATAAAATTACATGAGGTCTAAAATGTAACAAAGGAAGCCATTATAAAAAAAACAACAACAAATGCCTCTTTATAACCACAACACCAAATTTTCATATGGAGGAAAAAGCTCCTCTCTCTCTGAAAATTGTAGATCAATCATCTACTTGAGTTTTCTGGAATTAGCAAACACTTGTTTTCTTTGTTTTTGTTGACAAATTAAGTAGAATTCGATACTCGAATAATGATCGATTACCCCGCAGCCACAGCACCAGCTCGAGGCTTCGTATCGAGCAGTTGATGCAATTTGTTGGTTGAGTTAGAATCAGTGTCTCCTTTGTTCTTACGGGCCTTAAACGGGCTTTAACGTGAATTAGCCCAGTAATATATGATACTATGGGTTTGAGAAATAAAAGCGTCGTTTGTACCTTATTTAGATAAACTCCTTGCCGTTTTTTTGCAGAGTTAGGAGACTTAATTTGAAGGAGGGGTATGTTTTGTGAAGACAAGAATGAGAACCAAGTTAAGTGTTATCTTTTTATAACATGAGCATTTCACCAACAAAGGTACTATTACCACCTAACACTATTATTGTTAGTATTATCAAAACACACATTATGGGATTTGGTATATTAAAGACAAATCATCCATCATTCACTTGCTTTTGATTTCCTAACTAGATGACATCCGGATCGGTGTAACGTGTAAAAAAGATTTTAACTATCCGATCATATCTGAAAAGATGCACGGACAAGACACTCACAACTCTGTCTACATTCAATAAGAATTTATTAATGTAATACTCTAAATTAATCTATGAAAATTACATGTATTATATAAAGTTGGTATTTGCATAATTGTACTTGTTTTTTTTTTTTTCACTGGAAGATGAAAGTGTATTGATCAAAGAGTATTACATTGCATAAGAGAAACATAGTTGAACCATAAGAAGAACACAATGATTAACTCATACCTAAAACTAGAAAAGGATGAGCTCTTGATGACACATTGATAATACCATACATAGCTTTGATCGAGTCTTTCAAATGACCATCGAAAGGAATTCCCGCACAACATACCGAAGACGGGCTTCAACTCTTTTGACGATAACTCAAATGTAAAGTAGCAATCTCCATAAAAGATGAGTCTCCTTCAATATTTTGCTTTAGACAAGTTCATCACGGATGAGCAACGGTACAGAGATTTTTAGGCAATTTGATTTGGGCCAACCTCTGTCTGGAAAAGACATTACCTTTAATGGAATCCGAATCATAAATAATTTGCATCAACTTAATACATATTCATATCCTTACATGACACGAATCTGGAAGCTAATCCTCATATTCATTGGAAATTAATCTTTTACTGGATTTTTTTAGCTGTGTTGTATTTTAGAGGACAAACGAAAACACAACCATTTTGAGTCTAAAAATCTAGGTTGAGATTGTTAACAGCCTTTTTTTTACATTAATACAAGCTTTGTTCAAAACACACAAATTGAGAAAGAAAGAAAAAACTTGATATTTTGATAAGCTTCCTTTTGCTTCTGAGGTAATTGCCTTTTGTTGCACAAGTGTCGCACTACAACAAAAGTAATCTCTCAAATTTTATTAACAAGACAACACTAATTCTCAAACTTTTCATAACAAATAGATTCATCAACATTATTACCTTGGATCCGGAAGAAGAGGTCCTCCGTACAGAAAATCGCCATAACCATTACCTTCCAACGGCCAACTATACGAATTGAGAAAAATTTAATAAACTATTATATCAGAACACTAAAGCTGCAATCATCACCAAATTTGATTTTTCATAATGATGGATCACATATGAAATCAAAAGCTGGTTAAGCAACTCACCGGAATTTCTGGTCCATAGATAGGCTCATGGTCTTCGTAGAGGGACATGAATCGCGACTCTAGTTGCTCGAATCGAGGGTCAATCTCGATTTCGTTCTCTTCCTACAAACCATCATCACCACCAAAAAAGAGAACATGATGAAATTCTCAACCCAAACTAGAATGGATATGAAATCAAAGTTAATTAAGCAACTCACCGGAATTTCTTCTCCGTAGTCTTCATTGGTAGGCTCATCGGTATCATACTCTTCAGAGACGGACATGAATTGCCGGAATCGAGTGTCAATCACGATCTGGTTCTCTTCCTGCAAACCATCATCATCACCAAGAAAGAGAAAACGACCCAAACGAGAATGAATAATATGAAATCAAAGTTAGTTAAGCAACACACCGAAATTTCTGGTCCATAGTCTTCATTCATATTCATAGGCTCAACGATACCATCCTCTCCATAGATGGTCATGAATCGCGACTCTAATTGCTCGAATCGAGGGTCAATCACGATCTCATTCTCTTCCTACAAACCATCATCATCACCAAACATGATGAATACGAAATCAAACTAAAGAGAAGATGATGAATACGAAATCAAAGTTAGTTAAACAACTCACCGGAATTTCTGGTCCGTAGTCTTCATTGGTAGGCTCATCAGTATCATCCACTTCAGACTCAGAGAGAGAAGAGAATTGCGGCATGAATTGCTCGAATCGAGGGTCAATCACGATCTCATTCTCTTCCTGCAAACCATCATCATCACCAAAAAAAGAGAGAGAAGATGATGAATTTCTCAACCCAACCTAGAAAGAATACGAAATCAAAGATGGTTAAGCAACACACCGGAATATCTGGCTCAACGATACCATCCTCTCCATAGATGGTCAGGAATCGCGACTCGAATCGAGGGTCAATCACGATCTCGTTATCTTCTTCCTGCAAACCAGAAAACGATGAATTTCTTGACTCAAACTAGAATGGATATGAAATCAAAGTTGGTTAAGCAACTCACCGGAATTTCTGGTCTGTAGTCTTCATTCATATTCATAGGCTCAATCACGATCTCGTTCTCTTCCTGCAAACCATCATCATCATCACCAATACGAAATCAAACCAAAGAGAAGATGATGAATACGAAATCAAATCAGAGCAACTCACCGGAATTTCTGGTCCGTCGCCTTCATTCATAGGCTCAACGATACCATCCTCTCCATAGATGGTTATGAATCGCGACTCGAATCGAGGGTCAATCACGATCTCGTTATCTTCCTGCAAAAAAGAGAACAAGATGAATTTCTCGACCTAAACTAGAATGGATCTGAAATCAAAATTAAGCAACTCACCGGGATTTCTGCTCCAGGCTCATCGGTATCATCCTCATCACTCATCGGGAATCTTGGATCCGTAATAACATGACCTCCTTCCATTGCACCGGAACGTTTCTCTCGCTAAATTAGGGTTGCTGCTTGGGCTATGTATATATATATACATACAATTCGTGTATGATGATGGTATTCGGTTAACTCCGGTTCGGAAAATAAAAAATCATCTTTGGATTGGTTCATGTTAAAATTTGGTCCGGCAATAATCAACTTGGATAAAAAACTCGATTGTTTCCAAAATTTTGGTTTGATTTATTATTTAAGTGATTTTGGTCCGGAACAAAAATATGGATCTTTCAATCAATTTCAGAAATCATTACTTTACATGTACAGTATCTGTTATGTCTTCCTTCACTCGAAGATGTACTTTGTCCAATATTGCTGAATACTTGCTTATCCCAAGCTCTGTCCATGGTTTCTTGTGTCCATTGTAATGTATAACAGCTGCTTTTTCAATCTTCGTTGCACTGACTCCTTCGTCATAACCCAATCCAAGTAAATGCCATTTGCTCTCAGCTTGTAGAATGTCATAAGACCAGGTGGCAATGTTCCAAGTTTCCATAGAGTCCGGTTTTCGTTCTGCAAAAACCGACAACAACAACAAAACCACAGGTTTCTACTGCACCATTCACTTTCCCTTTAAGATCTACAGACCACAAAGGAGCTAAATCCTTCTGAACAACCACATCATCGTCAAGAAACAGGATTTTATCCAGCTTTGGGAACATCTTCTAGAACCTCAAGTGGTTAAGCATTGACATGTATTTCGGGTACCGGTACTTGAGGCTTTCTGATCCTGATTCAGACCTCTCTGTTTTAAAGTAGAATTTCTTCATAGCTTCTGTCTCAAAACTGGAGAGAAAGATGAGTTGAGCCGAACTTTTGGACTTGTATGGTCGCGTCTCCTGGAGGGTTTAAGAGAAACCACATACTCATTGCTCCAATGTTGAATTTCTCATTCACAATGTGGAAGACATGCAATGAAGAATCCTGCCAAAACAAAACAAAAAGCAACAGGCCTTGTAAGTTTTGTTCTTACACAACTCTCTGGAGTCTTACTAGTGTGATTGATCATTTACCAGCTGATGCAGCCAATACATTATCAGAGAAGAGAGCGTAGTGGTAGAGATTTGGATTCTCCAAGTTCTCGATTCTCGGGAATTTTCTCATTGGTGAAGGAAGGAGATAAAATTTTCTCATTGATTGAATTTTTAGTGATGTGTTTGTGAATTTTTATTAGGAGATTCGTCGAGATTGATCACTGGTAGTGCTGATCAGACTGCAAAGCTGTGGGATGTGAAATCTGGACAACAATACTTCACATTCAAGTTTGGTTCTCCGGCTAGGTCTGTGGATTTTGCTATTGGTGATAAGCTTGCAGTGATTACCACTGATCCTTTTATGGAACGTACCTCTGCTATTCACGTCAAGCGTATTTCGGAAGATCCCGAAGACCGTAAGTAAATGGACTAAGTTTTGTTTTGTTTTTAAGCCTTGTGTCTTGTAATGTGTTTGAAAGGCAATTGTTTGATGCAAATTGTGTAGAGACTGCTGATTCTGTGCTTGTCCTTGAAAGTCCTGAGGGAAGGAAGAGGATTAACAGAGCTGTTTGGGGTCCTTTGAACCAAACCATTGTTAGCGGTGGTGAAGATGCCGTGATCAGAATCTGGGATTCTGAGGTAATTCTGATTTCTACTCAAGTGTTTTCTTGTGTATCGATTTTGCTTTTTAACCGCTCTCGTTGTTGCTAGACTGGAAAATTGCTCAAGGAATCAAATGTGGAAGATGGTCACAAGAAGACCATTACATCGCTTTGCAAAGCAGCTGATGATTCTCACTTTATTACGGGGTCACTTCACAAAACTGCAAAGGCATGTGTTCCTTTGTTTTTCTTCTTACAAAGTTGTGCACTATATAGACATGTAGAGGGAATTATTGTGATAAGAGTGTGTCCATTTTTTGTTGATTTTTTCAGCTGTGGGACCTGAGAACGCTTACTCTCATCAAGACATACATTTCCGGGGTTCCCGTAAATGCTGTCTCCATGTCTCCACTTCTCAACCATGCATGTACTAACGCTCCACGAAATTCGAATTCGATTTGCCAAAATCAACAAGTCGTTATGTTTATCTTTGTGAATGTTTCTGTTCTCTCCCTTAGGTTGTGATTGGAGGTGGTCAAGATGCATCAGCTGTCACTACCACTGATCATCGCGCTGGAAAGTTCGAAGCCAAATTCTATGACAAGGTCAGTGTTACAGTAAGAAGCTTTTACTTGAAAAAATGTAACCTCGAAAATTATCATAATGTTTTTTGAACATTAGCATAATGTTTTCATGCAATACTGATACTTTGAGGACACCAAAGTAAGTAGCTTTTGAGTTTTGTTCGAGTCTTCTGATTTTTGGATTTCAAAGTTTTTTTCTTTTAGTGAAAGGGGGCAGAGTTGTCTCTTTTCACATGAAACCTTCACC